AACTGCGATGATCAATCATGTCTTCATATCTTTCTCTGCAGTTCAACTATATGATCTTTCATATATTCACTTGTATTCTTCACCATCTACGAGTATACCAAAAAAAACAAACAAACAAACAAACAAGCAAACAAACAAACAAACCAAAGACCATTTTACCTTACTAGTGAGTTCTAAAGATCAGATCATGACAGCCATTTTCAACTGAGTGCTTAAAGTAATATGGCAATTACATGGTCTTGGTTTTACTACGGTTTAAGATTGGCTGAGTAGTGTAATTGGTTTGGTTTTGGCTTTGCGACCATCAATTGAAAATCACTCCAATCAACGTAATTAGAAATCTAAAGCTATAACAAATATCAGAATCAAATAACAATAGCATTTATAATCTGGCATAATCATGTTTTATTTCACAACTTTACTAAACCAGTTTCGCTTTACCATTACAATATAACCATTTTGAGCTAAGATTGTGTAGTATCATTTCTGTTCTCAGCTTCTAGTAACATACATGTACCGGTAGTACCCAAACTTCTTAATTTAAAGTAACATTGCCACTACATAATTAATAATATATAAAAAAAGTTGTTCTTACATACACCATTTTACCTCGGTCCTTCTGAATTCTCATGTTCAAAATCAGAGAAAAATATTCTATTCAAATTCAGATTCCATGAATTGCTACAATTTATAACAGGCTAGTACAACAATATACCGTAAGTTGTATGTACATGTAGTGATAAGATTACGTTAATCGTAAATAAACATGTAACACTGTTTCACCCCAGGCCTGCGCAAACCTCTAGCTTAATCGACACACTTTCCTGGTGATGGAAAGTTGTTTCTGAGTTGCTGATGCTTCTGAAGGTCAAATTACTGGTATTGACAACTTTTCTTTTGGCATGGTGGGTGGACAGGAGGGAGGGGAGGGTAGGAGGAGGAGGAGGTCCCTACATCTTCCTAAGAAAATCTGTTGTTACTGAGAAGGAATAATGCAATTAAAAGAGTCCCTTTAAAGATAAATTACAAAAAGAGAATGTATTTTGTGACAGTCTTACATTACAACCATTACCTGTGTTCCTCACATACTTATACTTACTAAACCGTGAAGGAACATTACTTACACTAAAACCACACCCCAAGGAAAGACACTTGACTCCGGAGGGTGCAAGGAGTTGCAAGTATCCGCTACAGTGCATTCATTCCAGCACTAGTTAAAAGAATTTTAAGAATAAAGTTAGATGTTTGCTCACTGACTGCTCATATTTGTGCTACATAAATATTTCTTGCCACTTGAAAATTAACAAAGTAGGTAGTCATCTGTGAAAAAAGATCATTGCAATTCATATAATTTACTGAAAAAATCAGTAATGTGCAGTATGCATCACTAGGAAGACTACCTCAGCTTGTCATAGTATTTTTATTCCCTGTTTCTGTACAGGATTTTGTCATACATAATGACATTTTCTACATTACATTCACAATAATTAAACAGTGCTAACATTACCAAAAACCTTAACTATTCAAAATAGAAATTCTGCCACTTTAACTAATTAATTTACTTTTTTCTGTACCCAAAATAACATAGACTTTTTCTTTTTTGATAAAACTGATTTCAGAGGATCATATCCCTAAAAATAGTTATTAGTATTGTTAGTTCTCATTGTACTGGTCAGTAAGAGGTTGAACTTCATTCTGAAAGCAAAACACTGCAGGTTACTCAGCAGTTAAGTCATTCACAGTTGATCTGCACCAGTTTAAAATTAATATTTTGATTTGTTCCTGTTAATCTGCACCTCTTTTGTTCTTAGGGCCACAGGCATTGTTTTGTTTCGCCAATTTTAAACAACCTTGTAAAAGGTGAAGGTTGCAATAAACATCATAGAAACATACAAAGTTATACTTCTAGAAAATTCTATAGCTGCTACATGGTAACAACTATTTTTACGATACTAACCCAGATGTGTCAACATCAAATGTCCACAAATGTTGGTTGAAACCTGCAAGGAGAAAAGACTGTGGGAGATCACTCCCTTTGTTAGTGCTAAATATCAACCTTGTATAAAGGCGCCGGCTTTCTCTTGGGAATCTGTTTCCAAATGACTGCAGCAAATGACTGACATGGGAAAAATTTCCTGACTTTGAGTTAAATGGCTTCTGTTCAGATTTGAATTGTACAGCACTAACCTGATTTAAGCCAGTAATAAGCAACTTACCAAGTTACTTGTAGTCAATAAAATCTACCTGACTGTGTACAAACCAATACTATAGCTGCAAATCCCTAAACTACAAGACAAAGGCCCACCATGCTAGCCTGAATGACTGACGCTGAGTTTGCTGCAGTCATGTGGAAACAGTTCGACTGAATCCCTAACTACTGTTGGGAAGAGGGATCTTCATAGCTATGCAATAATTAATTACATTTCCCTTTAGCTTTGGTTCACTTCAGTTTATGATACTGTTGGCTTTCTTGCTGCACTCTGCACAGAACTCAAGAGATACTTTACCACTCTGCACATGAACACACACCCCAGCATCAACAGGACTGATTTCACCAGTAGCTGTCTTGTCTACTCTCCTTCTCTTGCTGTTTTCTTGACGTAAATTAACACCCTTCTTACCAGAATCATTTGGAGCATCACCACATTTTCTCTTGTTTGTCTTACCATCATTACCCTCCTCACAGTCCTGCAATATGCCGCAGCTGAGTGAAATCCCTGGAGTGTTGGCCACACTCCTCAAAATTCTGGCTAATTCACTTTGATTGGTGATTACACCTTTTAAGTAGCGGATCTCATCCGTGAGAGCTTCTAATTTGTCGTTTAGCTGAGCAGTGACCTGCTGTAAGTCAGCCTTGTCTTTCTTCAGTTCTTCTATGTTATCCTGGAGTTCTTGAACATATTTCTTCTTTCTTTCACGCTGTTCTTTAGCTTTCTCGGCCTGACTTTTTGCAGTGGTCGGGGATTTCTGAGGCTCAGTTGTTGAATTAGAAACACTCTTTACAGCCATCTTAAACTGTGTTTGACTTTTTGTTGATTTTCTTCCATTAGGAACTGAATCAACTTTCGAAAGACTTTTACCCGCAGTGTTCTTTTTCTTGATCTCCTGTTTCTTACCGCTATCACTCTTATCATGAAATAAGCTTAAGTCTACGTCCTCTTGTAAATTCCCCACATTGCTTGTCTCTCTGACGGGACCCGACTTCTCCACTCTCCCTTTCAACTCTTTTACTTGCTCCTCTTTGCTGGAAGCATCTGTTTTATCAGGAGTAGCCTCTACAATATCGAATATCTCTGTGTCCAAATCAACCGGATCCATATCCCATCCTAGGTGGTCAGCACATGTGTTGCCTTCAAAACTTTCAATACTAATTTCTTCTTCTGAATCCCATTGCTGTTCGGTATTAAACTGGAGAAGATATTTCGTCAGAGGCAGGTCATCTTCTTCCATGTCGCTGCACCTTGTATTGGTCCTAATATCTTTGGTAAAGCTCGAAATTTCGCCGTAAAGGTCGTCTTCGAAACTGAGATCTTCCAGTTCTTCGATGTTCAAGAATGTTTCGAATCCTGCATTTTGTAGAAGCGTGTTAGACATTCTTGACAATTTGCTGGTAGATTATAATTGTATGATACCAAACAAGTACACAAATACGACTTACGTTTCAGTTAAGCGTACCGGAGAAGTTAAATAACTGCACGTTGACAACAAAACGCTCGTTACTGTTAATGGCCGACGAGTCTTTCAAAACGTTTTGGTATCGTTCTCCTAGTAATTGTTGATTGGCTTAACGCTGACACGTGGTATTATATCACCCAGACCCCTTGGATATTTTCACGGCCGAAGACCTGTTGAAGATGGCGCTCGCGCTCTCTTTGCGCGCTTTTCTTGTTTTGTTGTCGCTTTTTATTTCCCCACTAAACGGTCAGATCCCTAAGAAAGAAAAATACCATGCTATAAAAGAGGACATCCCTTATATCAGATGCGAGACTTGCCAAAAGGCGGTGAAATATTTATATGGGAAAACGCAAGAGATGCGAGACGATGACGCGACAAAAAGGGTGAGTGTTGTAATAATTCAGAATAATTGCAGATCGGTAGAATCTCGAATTTTGGAAACGCTGATGACCTTAATTTAATTTTCCTGTGCGATGAAAGGTACTGGAATCGGTTAACGTGATACATCCACTAACGGTCTCAGCTTAAGGCTAACGTTGTGCATTGAAGCTTTAAATATTCAAGCTCTTTATTTTATCCTCATTAATTAGGCTTCAGTACAGTGTACATGTAAGCTTACGCTCAATGTTATGACTTAGCTTAGATAAGCTTATTGCTAGCGAAATCTGTGGTCTTTATCTTTTACTCTATAAAATAGATTTCCCGCAATTGCGATTATCCACGTGATTTTAAAACTTTTTTTAAGCTGATTGTGTTTGAGAGGTTTTTTTCACTTGTTCATCAAACAGTCCAAACAGTTTTAAGAAACATTCAAGCTTCAACGTTAAGTGATAACACCTTCATTGTAATGTTAATGTTTCATGTTGACATACTTGTCTACAGCCAGCAGGTGTTGAAGTTTAATACAATGAAATTGAAATTTATTGCAGACATGATTTTGTCTGTGATAGAACATCTGTTTGGCTTTTTCCATGTTATTTACTTACATATATAATGGCGTTTGATCACGTAAAATACAAAACGCCTTGTTCTGGGTTAAAAAAAAAAATCTTCTTCAGACCATTATTTTGTTCCTAGCTGTTGTTCACAAGTTGAAATTAAATTTGACAGATGTTATCTTGAAAAAACCCCTCTGTGATTATGCAGCTTGGTAGGGAGTTGGTGTGGCAACTTAATATTTCATTTATAAGGTGTGGTCCATTGAATAGAACTGAGGGACATTAAGAATTACTCCTTGCAGTATTATAATGAATCATCACTTATTTTAATCTTTTATGATGCAGGAGAACCTGTAAGATTTTGGCATTTGCATGTTATGGTGATTGTATCTTGGAGTTTTAAATAAATTATCTTTACGTTTTGTTCAGGAGTTACTTTTTACAGTGCCTTAGGGTTAGAAAAGGTGGAATAACTGGGTTAAGACCTAATTTCAATTTCATAAGCCGAAGAAAATCTCTGGAATATCAAGGAGATATTCTTAGTACAACAGAAAACCATGCCTAATTATTTACTAGTCATTCTGATCCATATTTAATCTTCCAATCTTATCTCAGATTGATAACACCATCATTATTAATACAATTTTGTGATTCAAGTATTATGCTTTTGTCATTTTTTACTGATTATCTTGACTGCTTGCAGAATAACAGAAATAATTCAGTTTTTAATTTGTATTAATCCAGCTCCAAAGTTCTACCTCATGTATTTTTGCATCTCTGGAACACAGTCTTTTTATAACACAAACCAAATATTTTTGGGGAGATGTCTTAACCCAGTGATAGCTAGTCCAGCATGAATCTATTTTGAATTCTCAGACAACAAATATAAAATATTCATAAATTTGAACAAATCCTTCCTCCTAACTGAGATGATGTAAGATGGTGGGAAAAAGTGAAGTGTTTCAGGAAAACAGAAAATGTAAAATGATGATGAAGAAATTAGGCAATGCAGACATCTCTTGTTTAGATTGATTTTTTTGCTGCTGTTTCATTTATGTGCGAATTTTTAGACTTTTGTATTACACTTTTAGATTCCTATTGGTGTAAAGTACTTTTTATTTTAGTGTATTTTTAATCAGTATATTTGATTTAATGTACAGAGTATAATGTATTTTAGCATACTTTATTTTACAGGGCCCACTAAAGAGGTTAAGGTGATGATTTCTTTCTCAAATCTCCCCTATGTGGATTACACCCAAAGGGGGGAGAGGTACTCCCATACACAAGCTATATGGGTATGTGCAGCTGTGAAGGGTATGGGTTTCAGGCAGTTTAGTCTAGGATAGGGTACAGAAATCAGACAGTTTTGATTTAGAATAGGGTCTAATGTACCAGAAAGTGGCCAGTGTATAAATAATTTAGTGCAGAACAGGGTTCTTTACTCAGGATTCTATGATAGAAACTGAAACTCAGAGGTGACTTTTTTAAGATATTAGTTTATTGGTAGTCAGGGGCAGGATAGTGGTTTTTGGTGCCTAGTCTAGAATAGGGTTGTAAAATCAAGATAATCACGGTCTAGTTTAGGGTAAGAGTTTCAGTGTCCCAGGGGCACACCCCTACTGCTAAAGCTCAAAATGTCAGCTTCACAAACTCACTACTGCAGTTAATTTGTCTTAGTCAACTTCAAGTTGTTTAATAGTGTTTCGCTTGTCCACTGATAAAGCTTAACACTTTCTTTAGAAACCATACACTTACAAATATAACTGAGTTTCTTTTTTATGATTTTGATTTTTTGCAGCTTGAAGAAGATAAAGTGATTGATCTAGTAGAGAAGTCATGCAATCCAGATAATGAGGAAGGAAGCTGGATCTCAAAAATAGATCTCCTTGAAAGGAATGGAGAATTAAGGCTTTCTGAGCAGAGCAATGTTGGAAAATGTAAACGAGAATGTCAGACTGTTTCAAAAGCTTGTGAAGAGTCTATAGCAGAGGTGGACACAGATCTTGCTGAACTGCTATGGAAAGACAAGTTGACATTGTCAAAACTGATCAATGAAGTTTGCTATTCGTTGTCTAGTGCATGCACGGGTAAGAGACCCAAGCTCAAGGCTGGAGAGAGGAAGATCAATGAAGACTTCAGTGTTATGACAGAAGATGAGAAGAAGGCAGATGACATCTTGAAACAAATGAGGTAAGCATATACTCTATTGCCAATCCTGTTTCAGTTTGACTGACTGACTGACTGACTGACTGGGAACTGAAGTTTACATATGGTTTCATCAAATCTGTTCTTTAGGGGGATCCCAGGAATGCCAGGCATGGAAATGTATTCTCGAGAGGACATTGAAAAGATGCGTGATCAGCTTGGTGCTCATCAAAAGGACACTGAAGAGGAAGAGGTCCTGGACAGTGAAGGAAACCTTTTCCACGGAGAGGAAATTAGCTTCTTTCAAACAATTATGAATGGCTTAGCATGGCTTTGGTCTTGGCTAAAAGGCATTTTTGGATTTAGAAAAGGCACATCTAGAGAATTATGACATCAGTGACTTGCTGTATTCACAGGGATGTGGCTAGAGAAAAATTCATTTAACTAATAAGAAACTTTATTAATCCAATGCCATTAAATTATTCAGTGTATTTATTGTTATGAATTGTGAAACAAAGGGTTTTCCTAGGTAGACTAGCATCAGCTGGGGAATACGGTGGGAGAAAGAGTTCTTTTCTTCTTTCCTGTGCTTGAGAATTCAGACCGTCTACATGTAAGTCTTCAAGGGATTATTTTGTAATAATTGCAGCTCAATATGGCAAATAGCCTGGTGGTTTAGTTTTAAAAATTTGTGGTTCTAATTTATTGTTATTTTTACTACTTATAATAGCTGCAATACTAACAAAGAATAACATGGTTGTAAAAAGCTGTAATTTGTTTATAAATAACAAATTTGTTCAAAAATTACCTCACACTAATCCAGTAATAAAATAATTCATTAGCTAATCTCTCACAGTTTCAGATATTTTAAATATTGGTGTATAAATAAACAATAGCCTCCATTGGGCGCAAAAATGTATAAATGATAGCCTTCATTTGGCACAAAAATATGCTTGAATATTTGTCTGTAGACATATGTTCCAAGAAGTGAGTTTCCAGGAACTTTGAGGAACAGATAATGTCCAAGGACAAATCATATCTGTGCATATTTTTGTGCCAAAATGGGTCTGTTGTGTTTATCATCCTTCAAACATTTTTTGAAACATGACAGACCTTTTTTTGTTCAAGTATGTCAAGGGTCAGGGATGTGCATCAGAAAATTTGAATAGACCATTTTACAGTTGTGTGCTCAGTGACCTGGCCTTTGGATGGCAGCGAGGTTGGAGTTGACCTTGTTTTGTTACAGACCTTACTGCTTTTGTTGTGAAAAAAAAATTGTTCTGATGCTAACTAGGTGCATTTACATGACAAAAGCAGTGAGGTCTGTATCAAAACAAGGTCAACTCCAGCCTCGCTGCCATCCAAAGGCCAGGTCACTGAGCAGACAACTGTAAAATGGTCTATTGAGCGCCTAGAGGAGACCATTCTGGGTGTGGCTTGAGCTTTATTTGACCCCTAAAAGATACCTCTTTAAAATGGACACGACAGCATTGCTTTTTTTGCGTGCAATAGGTAAAAATAGTGGATTTTCATCCTAACAGCCTGAGTAAGACTGAAATCTGTGATTTAAGCCCCTAACTGAGATGACAGGCATGCCCAATCTTGTCACACTTGCGTCCACCCTCACTCCTTCCCCCCCCCCTCCCCTTTTCCCAGGCTTCCAAGTCACGAAACGAATCCCAGGAAGTAAGTAAGTAACAACTTTATTTTTCGAGGGTAGCACATGACAGTGAAAACTGATAAACCAGTGGCACTCAATCTATTTGCAGTTTATTTGTAAGTGGTAAAAACACTGCAAGTTGTGAAGTAAAGTTTTCTGGGAGGCTGTTTCACAAGTTCCTTCAGTTAACCATAAATTAGAGCGGTTTTCAATTGAGTGTCGTAAAACCAACAGCAAACCAATTACTTACCAATTAAACTACTCAGCCAATCTCAGACCGTAGTAAAACCAAAACCAACACCAAAGTAATTGTCTAATTACTTTCGACACTCAAATGAAAACCGCTCTATGAACGGCTGGTTGCTATTGCTCTAAGCCCCTCCTTCCCCCCCTACTTCTCAGTCTGAGCTCCAAACTCTTTACGCTTATAGTAAGGCAGTTGTGTTCGTAGTGGTTATAGCAAAAAAAAGGAAATAATCATTTCATGAATGAACTGTTTTGCGTATGCAAACAAAGTGTGCAAAAAAGTGTACGCTAAAGTAAACCGCCTCACTTATAAACTGAGCCCACGGTGACAATGTCAGTAGATTCTCTAGTGATAGTAATCTGCGTCATGTTATCCTTCATGTAATTTTTGGATGAACACAGTTGTGGACATCAGTAAAACACGATGAAGCCCACAGTCAAATGGCCTTTGGATATGTCGCTTATGGAAAGATTATCCTGGAGATTCCAGAGTGCTGTTGTTATTGGTTTGGTCGGTCTCTCAAGTAAAATATTTTTGGGTAGGTGCACTCGTTTCAAACTTCCCTGTTTAAAGTTTACGCGCACCCACGTCTTCAGGCATTGGTTTGTATTTTGAAACCTCAACGTTTCCTTGGTCAGCTCCCGGACTTTTGAACTCCTGTTATTTGATCATTCAAATTCCCTTTCCCGAATCAGAATTGGTGTTTAAATGCCCACTTTAGTATCATACAAGGCAATGAAATACTCCGCGCGAGCCCTAGGGCTGGGATATTAGCTTGCGTTTTGGAATGGAATGACGATGTACATTTGATCTTTACCTAAAGCTTCTTTTTACTAGTCTTCGATAGAAGTATACATCTGAGCATACACGTATTTCATTTTGAGCCATAATCATAATGGCAAGTGTGTCAGAAGCTTCCCCTCCTGGGGGGAGGGGGGAGGGGGAATTGACCCATGCAATGGACAGCACCATGTATAGGGGTGCTGCCAAGGCTTTGAAATCCTGACCCTGTTTAGGGCAAAAATACTCTACAAACCCTCCCTGTGTAGAACTACACCCTTTATTTTTAAGACTCTGTTTAGAACAAGACATAAAGGTCACAAAGTCCCAGCCATGAAGTCATGTGTAAAACACAAACCAGGGCTATAACAGTCTTTTGCAAGATATAGCAAAGTTAAAGACAGCTTTAAAGGGAAAAACAAGCAACCATACCCTGGTTAGGACAGAGGCGAGCTAAATTGTATACCCTGTTCAGAACAGCAAGGCCAAAAAAACCATACCCTATCCAGTGGCATGTCCACATGTAGGCCAAACAGATCATGTGTACTAAAGGCATTCGTGGTCGAGTGTTGATCGATATTCTCGATCAATACTCAATCGACATCCTGATCAATACCCAGTCCACACTCTATAGTCTATAGACCCTTGATCAACAGTCAGTTGATAGTCAGCTGAGTGTCAACCAACTCATATGAATTGATCAAAATTAGTTGACTCTTGACCAACTGTCGACCGAGATGTTGATGGAGTGTCAATCGAGTGTCAATCAAGTGTCAACCGAGGTGTTGATGGAGTGTCAATTGAGTATCGATTGAGGGTCGATTGAGGGTACTGATTTAGTCTATCAATCGAGGGTATCGTTTGAGGGTATCGATCGACACTCGATCGTGGATGTCTTTAGTACACATATAATCCGGCCAAACAAGGCAGAAACCCTGTGGGTCAGTAGTTGAGGAGTTCCAGGCACTTGTGCTCAAGTTAGGGGGTGCTTGTGTGAGAAATCTCTCACTAAGGGGCTAGATGCATATTTGACAGATGTCAATTTTTATCCCCCTGCCCTCCCATTTGCAGCTTCTTGTTTCTTGACCATTCCCTAGGGGATATACTTACACCTGATTCCTCTTTGTTGTACCTTTGTTTAGAGTGGTTTAACTTTGTCAGAAAGTACAATTTTGATATTTTGGAGAAAAATGCAGAGGACAGACCAGATGGAGTTCCTCTGGTTACAGTCTGCAACCATTCATCATGTCTTGATGATCCTTGTTTGTGGGGTAAGACTTATTTTTCGTTAATAATTTGCTTGAGAAATGTTTTTGCTAGGAATTATTGGCAGTCCCTGTGGATATCTGGGGAATTTCCTACTGGGGAAGAAGTCTTTGAACTGTTTCCTACTTTCCAAAACAGTATCAGGTTATTTTTTGGTAATGTGAATATTTTGAATATTAGAACCCATGTGTGATATTATTAATAATAATTAATCCTCTTTCTGCCAAATCGAAAAAGCAATTGAAATGTTTTTTTTTTAAATCAAGATAATTGTAAATTTAAATCAAGAACCTAAAATGCAATCTTGTGATCAATTGATGTAATCAAGAATCGTATGTACCATAAGCACTAGGAATGATAACCCCGAGAAGAAAATTGAGTAGACCAGTATAATGTAGTAGACTGACTGAGAAACACTGCAAAACTTTCCATTCAAGCAAAGCATTTTGGCACGTGATCACACAGCACAACTCTGCATGGACACATGATCATTATGTGGGAATAAACTGTAAGGTGAAATACTATAATTGACTCAGTCCAGTAGCTAAGCTTTGTCTATTTTTGTAGGTCTTATGAAAATGAGAAGTGTCCTAAACACACGGAAAAAGGTCAGATGGTGAGTGCAATGTATAAATAAATGAATTTTCTGGCAAGCATCCCTGACCACCACTGGATTATGTGCCTGCTCAGGCCAACTCTCATAACTAAGTCATAAAAGGAAAGAAATATCCATGTTAATTAATGCAGATACTACTTCCTTCAATTCTTTGATTCTTAGAAGGAAAAGTTACTGGTGACCATGTGGTGAAATGTATGCTTGTATATGTTTACTCTGACTAGAGTTTCTGTAGTATAAAGTATTCTGAAAAATGTGGGGCAAGTAGTCAAGCGGCCCAAGCTTTATGGATAAGGAAGTATTGATCTTAATTTTGTTCAATATCAAATACTATCAGTGATCTGGTCATTTTTGGCTGCTTATTGCAGTGAGAGTCATTCAAGTTTTTGTAAATATATTTTTAAATGTTACCAATGTTTCATCTTTTTTAGGACTCTTAGTGCTCGTGAGCTGCTGTTTTCAACACCTTTTCGTTCGTCATTTTTCAGCAGGGCTAAGGTATGAACTAATTTTATAGTTATTTAACAGACATTGCTTGTTTCAGGCTTTGCAAAAATTTGACACGAATGATGTTGCTCTGTAAAGAGTCATGTGTCCAAAACAGCCAGTGTGTCTGGTTGGTTGTCAGTTGTCTGACAAAGGCTGGTAAAGAGGGACTCAGTTCACATTTCATAGAAAATGAAAGGGTTCTTATAAAAGGGTCCTTTTGTGATTATAAAAGGGTCCTTTTATGATTCTCAGAAAATTGGGTACTTAATTGTGGGTATTTTGTAATGTTTTGTGAGAAAAGTGGAACATCTTTCTCTCAAGATGTTGAAACATTGCATCCAAAGTTCAGCCTTTTTTCTTGTCTTCTCCCTTCCACCACTTCTTGTACCTCTTGTGACAAAAGAAACTGCTTTCCATTAAAGATCAATGCAGAGGAATCAAAGGTTGACCTGTCGCAGTCACATGATATATTAACTTACATATTAAGGTGGCCAAACACAGTTTTCGCGCGCGCTTTTGCTGATGCAATTCAGCGCGCGCACAAGGATTGCAAAAAACAAACATGCCGTCAACAGAGCGA